TAAGCACAGTAGGCAGTCTCTTGTTTTCTTCTGCTGATAGGTAGTGGGAGAATTGGGGAGATTGATCAGTCAAGTTCCCAAAACTGCATAGAGAGTTGAACCATTCCTGCTGCCTCCCAGGGTCCACACTGGTGGGAAACTAGAATTGGGCACCAAAGCCAGGGTTTGAACCTGGGCACTGTAATGTGGAATGCAGATTTGCACTCTTTCTCTGTTTTCTCATTCTTTCATTTACATGTTTGAATGGCAGTGACAGGAGGGAGTGAGATTTTTCCAGCTGTTGGTTCATTTCCCAAATGACAGTAACTACCAGACTGAAGCCAGGAGCTTGGAACACACTCAGATTACCACAGTTGAGTGGAAGGGGCCCAGACACTCAGGCCACCTGCTGTTGCTTTCCCAGACACATCACAGAGAGCTGGGTCACCACCTGTGTGAATGCTGGCCTCACAGCAGTATAACCCTTTGCACCATAGTGTCAGCCCTGCTACTTTAAATGCTAAGTCCATGAATGCCCTGTCTCCTTGATGCTGAAGGATTTAGAATCAAACCTAAAGGTGAAGTGCTAAAAGCTTAGATGGGAGATGATCAAAGAAGCAGCTAATGTTGGTTTCTTTTTAAAAGCATTTGTTTATTTGAAAGAGAGTTAAGACATTGGCTGGTTTACTCCCCAAATGACTGCCACAGCAGGGGCTGGGCCAGACCGAAGACAACAGCTACAAACTACATCTGTGTCCCGGTGAGTGGATGTTTAGGTCATCCTCTGCCTTCTCAGCAGTGTTGGCAGGGAGCTGCATTGGAAGTGGAACAACCAGGGTCTGAGCCAGTGCTCTCATGGGATGCCAGCATTGCAGGTGACAGCCTTTCTGGATGAGTCACAACTTCTATCCCAGTGTTGGCTTTAAGATTTATTTTGTTGGGAAGGCAGAGAATGAGAGAGTGCATAAGTTGCTACATGTGTGACTTTTTTTTTTTTCCATTTCCTAAATGATTGCAACTACTGGAGCTGGGTTGGGTTGAAGCCAGAGCCCAGGAACTCCACCCTTGTCTGCCACGTAGGTGGCAGGGGCTCAAGCACTTGGGATATCTTCCACTGTTTTCCTAGGTGCATTAGGAGGAAACTTCATTGGAAGTAGCAGCTGGGGCTCAAACTGGCACCCCACTGTGGGATGATGGCATTGTAAGCCGGGGCTTAACCTGCTTGGCCAGCCACTAAGTAATAGGGTTTTAATTGATAAGTCCAGTGGAGTTGGTGGACTAGAGTTTGTGTTTCTGTGTTGGGCCATTACGCTTCATGCTTTTGGTTCCTTGTGCTGAACCTTGTGGCTCTAGTGCTGATAAGATTGAACACAGTGTCAGCAGGTGACATGAAACTGCATAAAAGTTTAAGATTAGTTACTGAGTAGATAGGAAAGAGCCAATCTAGGTGTCAGAATACTTAACTGAATGTGGTTCTGATGTTTGTCTGGAATGAAACTTGATAGAATCAGATAAGGGAAACTGGAAAGCCATTTAAGGGAAACAGCGACTCAGATAACTTCTGATAAATAAATGGGTGTCAAAAGTCCGTGAGAAAACATGCATGGGATGACTTTTCCTATTTAAAAGAGAATATTGAAGAGTATTTTGGGAGTTCTGTGAAATGGATATTCATTCTTGTAATGTGAATAGCAACTTGCGAATTCTCTTAAGATTTCAGGTGTGAATTTATCTGTGCAGTTTTGGGAAACCATCTTAAGTGAGCTACACCCTCTTCTTCCACAAGTAGTCCAGTGAGGGTAAATCTTGGGATTAATCCCTGTGATGCCAAGCCATACCATGTCAGGTGCTTAATTAAAACTGATGAATGTTTGCCAATGGATAGATTTTTAAAAAAATATACATATATATTTTTAATTGAAAAGTCAAATTTACAGAGAAAAGGAGCAACAAAGAGAAAGATCTTGCATCCACGGGTTCACTCCCCAAATGGCTGCAACAACCCGAGATGAACCGATTCAAAGCCAGGAGTCACTTCCATTCTCCCAAGCAGGTGCAGGGTCCTAAGGCTTTGGGCCATCCTCGATTGCTTTCCCAGATATGAACCAGCGCCCATAGGAGATCCCAGCAAATGCAAAGCAAGGACTTTAGTCACTGAGCTACTGTGCCAGGCCTTTGTTTTTTGTTCCTGTTATTGATTTCATTTGAAAGGCAGGTACAGAGGACAGACGGGGAGATGTTATGGACTTGCCAGCAGGACCAGAAGTGGAGCTGCTGGGATCCGAATGCAGTGCCTATATGGGATGTCAGTGCCACAAGTAGGGACTTAGCCTACTATGCCACTGTGCCAGCCCCTGTGAGTTACTTTAAAACACATCCCAAACTAACATTTGATCTATCAGTTTTAAGAAGGGGATGATTACAAGTTTTTCCTCTTTTAAAAAAAAAATTTATTGGAAAGGAAAATTTATAGAAAGGGAGACAGAATCAGCTGGCTCACTCTCCAAATCACCACAATGACAAACCTGAGCTGATCCAAGGAAGCCAGGTCTGCCACAAGGCTACAGGGTCCCAAGGCTTTGGGCCATCCTCGACTGCTTTCCCAGGCCACAAGCAGGGAGCTGGATGGGGTGTGGAGCAGCAGGGACACGAACCAGTACCCATAAGGAACCCCAGTGTTTTCAAGGGGAGGTTTAGCCAATTGAGCCATTGCGTTGGGCCCACAAGTTTTCCCCTTAAATCTATTATATCTCACCATCTCTTTGGTGTGTGTCTCTGGTGATCATGCTTTATTTTATTGTCATAAAAATAATATAAAAGCATTTATCCCTTTCCTTCTCCCCTTGTGATTACACACAATCTGCTTGGTGAATGTAGGAGACTTGACAGCTGTATCATTTGTTCTTTTGTTCGGGGGTGGGTAAAAATAAAGAGCTAAAATGGGTTGTAAGGCTAATTCTGAGCTGATCTTTTGCTGTAGGGTTTCAGGGTCATTATCTGTTGCCTGGAAAGAGAATCATGCTGTTGTAGTATTAAAGTCAAGTGATTGAGTTGTTCCTCTTGATGTCAAGCTTCATTGCTGGTTTACTGTTGCTGGTAGGTGGCTGGCTTTCTGATGTGAGTGACTGGGCTGTGCATCTTGGTTGAGCCTCACCAAATTAATGTACAATATTGTGCCTCTCCCTCCCCTTGCATATCTCAGGGGTCTTCAGAAGGTTCATGGAAAATATGTGTTGTGAAAAAGCTAATGCGTGATTTCCATTTTTTTTTAAAGATCTATCTTTTCTTTTTTTTTTTTAATTTAAAAGGCAAATGTAGAGAGACAATGAGAGATTTTTCCATCCACTGATTCACTCCACAAATGGCTTCAATGGCCAAGGCTGAGCCGATCTGAAGCCAGGAGCTTCTTCTGGGTCTCCCGTGGAGGTGCAGGGTCCCAAGGCTTTGGACCATTATATTCTGCTTTCCCAGGTCACAAGCAGAGAGCTGGATGGGAAGTGGAGCAGCCAGGATACCAACTAGCACCCATATAGGATGCCAGTACTGCAGGTAGAGAACTAGCCTATTTTCCATGAAGTTTTTGAAGTACCAAGTATATATTCATATGTATGTTTTGAAAGGATTTACTTATTTATAAGGTAGAGAGCAGTAGGAAGAGGGGACAACAGAATCAAAAATCTTCCACCTATGGGTTCACTTCTCCAAAAAGACTACAACTTGGTTTGGGCCAGGCCAAAACCAAGAACCGGGGATTCCATGCAGGTCTCCCACATGAATGTCAGGGACCCAAGTCCTTGGGACACAAATTGCTGCTTTGGTCAGAAGCACAATGGCCAGGGTTCAAACTGACACTGCAGTAAGGGTGCTGGTGTCGCTGGTCAGAGCTGAAACTTGCTGTCCCACACTGTTTTCTGTGTGGTGGCTTCTTTGGCAGTTTGAAACCCATCGAACCCTTTTTCTTTTTTTAAAGGATATTTTAAGATGTCTAAAATGCAGAGGATTATAAGAGAAACCAGTTATTTTGAAATAGAGTTGAAAAAGTTTCAAAACCCACATGTGCTTCTAGCAAGTGCTAGCCACACAGCAGACTCTCACAGTAATGAGTGGAGGTGGGATTTGAAGTTCAGCAGCCATGTAGTGTGCTATGGAAATAAGTGATTTATTTTAAGGTCAGTTATAGGTTCTGTAATTCTGTGGTTGATTGACAACATTGAAGAAAGTGTTAAGTTTCACGTCGGAGGCAGTAAAGCACTAGGGATATTCCTCACTCCGATCCCAACTAGGACTGACCAGAATTCCCTCTGTGGATCCCTTGGCTGTGATCTCAGAGTGAGAACCATCTGGACCAAGGTGGTGTTTGTGTCCTGGGCCATTTCATTTGAGGCACAAGGATCTGAACTTCAAATACAGTCATCAGATACGGTTTTCAAACATTCTGTCTGGTAGTTTTAGTGGCTTTTAAAATGTGTCATGACAATCCAATCATGTCAGCTCTTCAGTCTCAGTATGCATCTAATGATTTTCTTTTTTCCTCATGGGCTGTATTTTAAAGATTATTTTCTTAATTAGAGATGCAGATATCCAGAGAAAAGGAGATACAGAGAGAAAAATCTTTGGTCCGCTAATTCACTCCCTATGTAGCCACAATTGTCTGGAGCTGAGCTGATCTGAAGCCAGGAGCCAGGAGCTTTTTCTGAGTCTCCCGTGTGGATGCAGAGTCCCAAGGCTTTTGGCTACCCTTGACTGCTTTCCCAGGCCACAAGCAGGGAGCTGGAGGAAGTGAAACAGTTGGCACCTGTATGGTATCCTGGCATATGCAAGGCAAGGACTGTAGCCACTAGCCTACGGCACACTGGGTCCTGCTGTGTTCTTTTGTTATGATATGTTGATTTGTAATAAATGTAAAGTTAGTATTGCAAGTAATCTCTAATCTTTCATGTTGGCATTGACTGTGTTATGCTTGTGTGTGTGGGTGTGTGTGTGTGTATTTCCCTTAAAAACTAATTCTAATTCTTCTGCAGGATTCGGAAACTTCAGATACGAAATATCCCGCCTCACTTACAGTGGGAGGTAAGAATTTTTGACTTTAAACTTAACTGCTTAGCTAAACCTGTTGCTGTGACATTGTGCAAGATTTTCCTCCTTCCATCACCTCCTGGGAGTGCTACAGCACAAATCCGCTCTCATACCTGTGTCTGCTTTGGGATTTTCTTGGTAAGGGAACAGTATATCCTCCTAAAACCCTGCTCTTGAGACACTGAAAAGCTGGGAGAGAGTCTTAAGTCATTGGGTGATCTTACTCACTCCAGCCCCATCCTGATCCAGCCTCGAGCTGAATCCTTTCTGGTGAGTTTGCCAATTCTGCATAAATATGAAATTTTCTGGCCAGTTGTTTAAAACACAAACACTTCTGCCTCTGCTTTGACTTTTTCCCCCTGTTTTTACACGGTCTACTTGCTCGGGCAGGGATTGGGGGGAAGCACTGGAGTGTTTGTGTGTAAAGCAGAAGTGTAATGTGAGTGAGCAGTTTGCACAGCAGGGCAATGAGACTCCCTCTGTGGTGGAAGAGAAAGACAGGGACAGTTCAGGTAGTGGAACCAGAACATCCTCCAGGCCTGGCCTGCAGGAGGCAGGTGTCAGCATCACCTTTGATGTGTTTCTGATATAGAAGTTTCAGATTAGTCTCCTGAAAGGGCATTTAAGGAGGTCTTACAGAGAGTGTGGTTTCTAGGTTGAATGGATCCTGCTTTGGGAAGTGTTGGCCTCCAGCCTGGTTTCTCACAGTCCCTGGAATGGTGACAGGTGGTTTGTGTGCAGCATGTTGGACTCCGCTCTTACCTGCAGAGCAGTGCGGTTGCATTTACCGTTCACAGGAAGGAACTGTGTCTTTGGAATGTGCTTGCTGTTTTTCTTATTATATATTAAAATGTGCTTGGTAAATGGAAATAGTGGCTTACAAGATTAAACTTTGCATGTTTTCCTGTTTTAGGTGAACATTTGGCTTAGTGAATTCAGTAGCTTGGGTAATGGGTTCTCAAGTCAGGTGTTGCCGTAGTGATATTCCTAGTTTGTTTTTAAGCTTTGTTTATTTGAAAGATTGGCAGTGGGAGAAGGAGAGTCAGGTTTTTCATCCACTGGTTCATTTCTCAAATGGCTGCAATGGTTAGACTGATCTAAAGTCAAGATCATCTTCTGAGTTTCCGACATTGGTAGCAGGGGCCCAAATATGTGGACCATCCTTCTATTGCCTTTTCCAGGGCATTAACAGAGAGCTGGGTGGGAAATGGAACAGTTGGGGCACAGTTGGCATACTGGGGGATGCTCGATGTCACAAGCCTTGGCTTGGCCCAGTGCGTGACAGGGCCAGCCACCTCATCTTGTTATTTTGAAATGAACACTGTTGACTTGATGAGGCTTGTGTTTTGGTAAACTTTGTGTTTCAAAAGTTAATCTGTTAACTATTAATTGATAAACAGTGCTAATACTCTGTACAGGAATTAAATCTAGGATAATGCAGTTTTCAGCAAAAAATTAGTCAAATAATAGCAACCAATTTTAAGCAAGCAAACTTACAGTGTTTGTTACAGGTTAGTGATAGAATTTTCTTTAAATTATTTTAATTTTTAAACATTTATTTGAGGAGCTGGCTTAGTGATAAAGTCAGTTAAGCCACCACTTTGAGTGCTGTCATCCCTTATGGGCACTAGTTCAAATTCTGGCTCCTCCACTTCTGAGCCAACTCCCTGCTAAACTTGCCTAGAAGAATACTGCAAGGTGACCCAAGGGCTTGGGCCGCTGCACCCACATGGGAGACTTGGATGGAGTTGTTGACTGAAGCCCTGGCCATGTGGGGCCATATGAGGAGTGAACCAGTGGATGACACAAGCCAAAACCTGTTTAAAAGACGGAGCTCCCGTCTGCTAGTTTGCTTCTCAAATGCTCACAGCATCAAGGTCTCTGCTGAGGTCAAGGCTGGGGGCCAAGAAGGCAATTCTGATTTCCCCTGTGGGGTACTAGAATCTGGTCATGGAACCATCGCCATTACCTCCCAGGATCCCAATGAGCAGGATGCTGGAATTGGTTGTAGGGCCGGGACTTGATCACAGACATCATGCTGTGGATGCAGGTGCCTTAACCGTGGGACCAAATGCCCACTCCTGAAGTTTCCTTACAATTCCTTCAGAGCATCTCTTCGAATGTGGTCTGTAACACAGTTGTTTCATTGCATTTGACCTCATTCTGAGTAAAATTGAATGTGACCAGTAAAAAAAGACTTAGTCATATCTAACTTTTTCTCAACTTTCATGTTTCGTTTGACCCTCCCCATGGTTTTTGTGGTAATACCAACTTGGTAACACTTTCTCCATTTTCAAACCAGTGAGTGTTGACACCCAGGATTAAAAAATTGTGGCAAGAAGACAGGCTGAATTGTACACCTTAGGACCAGACTTTGACCCCCTGTAAAAACATTGTTTGATATAGCAACCAACTCAGACTTGCTTATCAAGGGTCTGGTAAGAGTTGGGGGAGCTGCTGGGTGTGTTCTTGAACGTTGACCATGATTTCTGTTTGGGAGGAGCAGTTTGGGTCTTGGTTGATACATATTGTGTGTTGCTGCTGAGCTGCTTGTGCCAGAGCTTTTTGGTGACCAGCCCCTGTTGACTGCACTGGAGTCACAGATTTTATTCCAATGGGAGGATTAGACGTTGAATCTGCTGACTGGTCTCAGGGTCTCTGCAATGGCAGAACTATGCTGGGCCGCTCGACAAGCTCCCCAGATGAAGTGTCCTTGTCCACAGTAGGATTCAACCAGATTCTGTTTCCATCTACTGTGGAGTTTCTCAGCAATGCAGGAGATGTTGGGCCGGGCTTGGGAAGGCTGCGGAGGAGCAGTTCGGTCCAGAATGAGGCATGTTGCTGAGACCGAGGGTGCTGTTTGACTTAGCAGGCAGCAGCACAGATAGTGAGAAGGGAACTGGTTGCAGAGCAGGACACGAGGATGACAGAGAAGTGAGCTCATGCCCGTGGAAGGTTGTTTATCACCAGTACCAGCAGCCCTGAGAGGGTGCTGGGGTCCAGAGGGAAAGCTTCATGACTTTGGGATCAGATACGGAATTCTATACCAACACAACTATTTTCTGTTTATTTGAGAGACAAAGAGACGCACACAGAGTTTTGATCCACTAAGCTAGGCTGACGACAGGAGTCTGGAGTTTCCTCTGGGTTTCCCTCATGGGTGCAGGGGCCCAAGGGATACTTTCTCAGGTACATTAGCAAGGAGCTGGATTGGAAGTGGAATAGCTGGGACTTGAACCAGTGCCCATAGGGAATACTGGTCTTGCAGGTAGCAGTCTTATCTGCTGTACCAAAGCACCCCTCCCCATTTTTCTCATCTCTGACATGGCTGAAATGGTGGATAACTTCATTGGGATGCTTTAAGCACCAGCTAGGGTTGTGCATGCTGCAGCCCTTACAGCAGTACTTGCTGTATATAAATGCACAGAACACACTGGCTGTCTTTCAACTTTAGGTTCCAGTGCATGTCTCATCCCAGTCAGATGAAGTGGTGACCACGTAAGCCTCTAGGTCTTTCAGTAGGCAGTTTCTTCTTCCTTTCCTCCTCCTCCTGTTCCATCTCTTCTGTCTCTTCCTCCCCTTCTTTCTCTTCCTTCTCCTCCTTTTCCTCCTGCTGCTTCATCTTGTTTGTTGTTGTTACTTGTTCTTTATTTAAAGACCAAGTCACAGAGGAGGACAGTCTTTATGTGCTGGCTCATTCCCCAGTGCCAGGAGCCCAGAGCTGAAGCCAGGAACCCAGAGCTTCCTCTGGTTCTCTCAAGTGGGCACAGTGACCCAAGCACTGGGGCCAAACTCTGCTGCTTCCCCAGGTCATTAGCAGAAAGCTGGGTCAGAAGTAGGACAGTTGGGACTAGAACCGGTACCTGTATAGGATGCCAGCACCACAGGTGGGGACTTGATGTGCTGTGCCACTACACCAGCCCCTCAGCAGGTTGTTTCCTTATGGAGAAGCATATGTGTTGGAGGACTGAGGAAGGGAACCCAAGGGTGGTAACTACAGAGACCTGGCATGGCTCTGGGGCCCAAGAGATAGAAGAGGTGGAGATTGTCAGATGCTGGAAGCTCAGTGCTGAGTAGCTCAGGCTCAGGTCTCTGAGCAGGGAGGGCTGGAGTCCCCCTACCGGACAGGGACAAGGGTAGTGGGGAAAGGGACCATATTGGAGCCCCATGACACTCTGACGATGGGATGGTGATGTGTGAGACCGGGACTGGCCTGTGACGTGCACACTGCTGTCTTAGCCTCATGCTTAGAGTTACCACACTCCACCCCAGGTGAGCAGGGGCTTCCCCCAGGATGGCCCCAGCAGAGTGTGTGGTGTGTTGTGGTTATCAGGCAGAGGTTCCCTTGTGGAGAGTGATAAAGCACTTCCAGATGCTGCCCTGGTTCAACACTGCAGTCCTGAAACGTTTGTGGGGTTGGAGACAGGAGGAAGCCAGCTCTTGGAAGGTCCCACTGCTGGAGAAGGAAGCAGACTGGAGGGAAGGCGGTGACGGTTGTTTGGCACCCACCTCCCTGCCTGGATGAGCAGGTCTGGTGTCAGCAGAACTGGAAGGCTTTTCTGCAGACACAGGCCCAAGGCCACTGCCACCATGAGGACTTGAGGGGGATGCTCCTTGGGTGAACCCTGAGCTGCTTGGACGATGTTTTTTTAAACTTAATTTCTCAAGTGGGCTTTGTTTTATAAGTTTGTGCAGTGCTCATTTACTTAAAAAGACTTAGTTGAAAGGCATAGTGGGCAGGATGTTGGGAGGATGGAAAGAGGTGACAGCATCGATTATTTCACTCTCTAAATGGCTGCGGTGGCTGGGGCAGGTCTGGGTAGAAGTCAGGACCCAGGAACTCCATTCAGATCTCCCACAAAAGTGAAAGGGACCCAAGTACTTGGGCTACAATTTGCCGTCTTCCCAGGAGGATTAGCAGGGAGATGAACTGGAAACCAAGCAGCCAGGAATTGAACCAGAGGCTGCTGTTGTTGTAGGTGGCTACTTAACAC